GTATCAAACTAAAAAGTTTCTGCATAGCAAAGGAAATAAGTAAACAGGAAGCAATTTACAGATTGGTAGATACATTTACAAATAATTACTATGAGGTTTATATGAAAAATACGTGAGAAATTCATACAACTCAATGACAAGAAAACCAAATGACACAAGTGAAAATGGGCCAAGAAACTGAATAAACATTTCTGGAAGGAAGACATATAGTCAATGTTCAGTACCACTACTGATCATCAGGGAAATGCAAATCAAAACCACAAAGAGATATCATCTCACATCTGTTTGGTTAGTTATAGAAATCCAAAAGGTAACATGGATTGGTGAGGATGTGAATAAAAGAATCCTTGGACAATATTAGTGGGAGTACACATTGGTATAATCTCTATGAAAAATACTATAAATATTCTCAATAATTAAAAATATAATTATCTTAGGAGCCAGCATTCTCATCAGGATCTCAAAGAGACATTTGCACATCCATGTTTGTTGTAATATCACTCACAATGGCCAAGACATGGGAGCAACACAAATGTGCAGCATAGATAAAATAATGTATATGTATACAAGGGAATATTATGCAGCCTTTAAAAGGGAAGGAAATCCTGCCATTGCTGAAAGGGATGAACCTGGAGGATATTGTGCTAAGTGAGATAATCCAGATATAGAAAGAAACATACTACATGATCTCATTTATGTGTGAACTTTAAAAAAACCATACACATAAGAGCAGAAGAGTTGAATACTGGTTATTAGGGACTGCAGAAAGGAAGGAAAAAGTGGAGGTGTTAGCTAAAGAATCTTAAATTTCCTTGTAAGATGAATAAGTCCTAGAAATCTAGGCATAGGCATAGCATATTGTCTATACTTAACAAGACTGTACTGTATACTTTAAAATCTGCTCAAAGGTAAAAACAAAGAGGGATGGAGGAAATGTGTGGATAGGTGTACTGAGGCATGGATTGTGGTGATCATTTGGGTGTACACTTATCTTCAAATCCAGTAAGTTAAGTACTGTAAATATATACAGGTTTTGTATATCAGTCATACTTTAATAAAGTGGTTTAAAAGTCTCATTTCCAAATCAGAGTCATCTTGCATGTTCTCTTTGCCTACCAACCTGTATTGCTAACTTTTTCAGCAGGTTCTGAATCTTCTAGACTTTAGCATGTGACTCTTTCAGCTAACCTTCTCTAACCATCTCTATAAATGACATGCCTTTGTCAGAGATTGTTTTAAAGGGAGCACCCTGTGTGTTTCCTTTATGCAGTTTAATTATGTGTTTTTATTTTTCGTGTATTTATTGTTGTAATACTCTTTGTTACAAAATTCCAAATTCATTTTTTCTTATCCCTTACTGTTAGAATTATGATTTTATTCAGGACAGTAACCAATGTACTGACCAACCAATCAACCAAACAAATTCCTTAATTTTTTTATCATTGGCAGTAATAAGAAATATAATCAGAATTTTTTTGAACATATCCATTTCTGAATATAAAGGAAAACTTCTGCATAGAATGGATATAAGGTTTAAAGACAAAGCAGCTATTTTGCAGCCCTGACATTATAAGCAAAAAAGCACTAAAGATGGCAGAGGGAAATTATAAAGATCCTGAGTTCCTGAAAGATTCATCTTACTGTCTTACCTACCTTGCACTCTGTCCCTCAAACTTCAGTTGCCTGAGAATACCTGGGCTTCCTAGCAGTTATGTTCGTTTGTTGGTCTCTCCAGTTAAGGAGTAAGCCCTGTGAGGCTAGGGGCACATTTAAATGTGCTTTTTCTTCTTGCCCTACATCAAGATTTTGTGATGTTTAGCACAATCGACATTTTGGTCTGGATCATGTTTTGATGGGGGTCGGGAGGAGTACTGTCCTGTACGTTGTAGGATGCCTACCAACATCCTAGCCCTCTTCTAACTGGATGCCAGTAAGCACCATCAACACCTGCTGTGACGGCGAAAGCATGATTCTAAACTTGCTGAAGGTCTCCTGGGGGGAAGTTACTCTTCAGCTGAGAATCATTGCCTTAGATGATCTTAGGATACAGAAGTCAGTAGCTAGTGACCATATTCACAAAATTATTAATTAACTGGATACAAGAATTAAGAGAAATGGATGAAGTCAAGTGTGCCTTCCAAATTTCTCTCTTGGGCTAGTAATTATATCATTTAAAAAATGAATTAGTACATTCTAATTTTTCAGTAACTTACATTAAAGTGTGGCCTTAAAGTTTTACAAATACTCCAGATTGGATCCAGACACCACACATTTCTGTATGTATTAATGAAATCCAATCATAAGTATTTTCCCCCTTTATTAGTTGCATACATTTTCCTCTTTACTTGAGTCACACTCTTTTAAACTTAAATTCACCAAAACCTTTTGGTTATTTTTGTAAATAATCTTGCTAGTTCCTATTATTTTTTATTCTTTAACTTTTAAATATTCTTGCATTTTTCCTTATTAAATTTCATCTCTTTCTTTTCAGGCTCCATTTTTGGGTTATTGATATAATTTACTTTATTATATTTCATATTAGTTCTCTGTCCAACTTGAGTCTACATTAACTGGTTGGTTGATTAAAATTTTTGACCTGGACGTAGCAAAGGACAAAAATAATTATTGAGTATTCATGAACTGAACTTGGAACAAATACCTCATAAGTAAACTGTGGAACAGTTATTTTAATGGCCTCAAACTTCTTTTACTCTGTATCTAATTTAAAAATTTACAACAGACTGTAAGTTGCCACTATCTCTAAAATTTACTCATGGGAATAAAGACAGGGTATGACCCAGGGACGTAAACATAATAGCCTTTTATTCTTGATAGTATAAGACGATCAGGTGAGGCATTTTTACTCACTTTATTTAGACCACCAAACTTAGTTCAACTTGTGGCACTGGCATGCAATGGACCAATACAACAGAAAAGGATGGATTTTAAGTGGTGAAGAGTTTGCTTTCCATGAGTGTGGATTCTCATTTACTGCTTTATAAGAGATAAGGAAGAGTGATAAGGGTGCAAAGTCTCCAATATAGCAAATGAGTATTACTTGTCATGACTAATAAAACATGTTAGAGGAAGAAAATGGACACCTGATTGAGATAATTCATAAGATCTTACAGAGCTGTAGAAGACAAATGCAAGAAAAATTAAGTGACACAATTAGATATATTTTTAAGATAACAAGTTTAGCTTTCTCTTATAGTTAAAATTACTTACAATTGAAGTTTTTATTTTGTGAAAAGCACTTCTCCTCCATCCCACAAAGTATTGACTGGTCTTTTGACCTCTCTACTAACCATTCTCATCAACATTATTTATAAATATCACAACCAACTTTATCTTTTAAAATACAACCTATTTCTATCTTTCTCCTGCTCCCCTTTTCATACAAAGTAAATTCCAAAATTTTAATGGCCACAGATAGGACATTCTTGATATATTTTTCTGTTCTCCTCCATGAAAACTATGCTCTAACCACATTGACCTACTTTATATTTTTGAATGTTCCATGCTCTTTCAAACTTCTGCGCCTTTGCTCACGCTGTCATTTCTGAATAGAATGCCCTTCTCTACTTTTATATTTGGTAAATCACTGGCATTCTTTGAAACCCAAGTCAAATATGACCTTCTCAATTTTACAGTTCTGACTTTCTCCTCTACAAATCCATGATGCCTTGGACTACTGCTAAAATTTCATATGTGCTTAATAAATGTTTCTGAAGTGAGTAATTAGTAAATTTTCAAAAATATGAAGTGGGGACATTTAGTTTCATTGCTGTTCTATGTAAAAAGAAATCTAACATTACATAATAACTTCTTTGAAAAGTTTTGAATATTTACCATTTGAATACATCAAAGGAATTTCAAGAGAATCAATTGGGTAATACTACTTGAGATTTTAAAAAATCCTATTTCATGCTCTTTGATATATTCTCTTGTGTGCATAAGTTTAAGATTGTTTACTATAAAGAAACCAAGTAACCAATCAGTGGTATATAACTTTAGTCGCTCCACATTTTGTGTTGAAAAAATAAGTATTTTCTATAGGTTATGATTACTATTGTTATGATTTATTTTTACCAATTTTAATTAAAATGTTTGCTTATTTATTGCTACCTTCTGTAGTTTACCTTGGGAATATTGTCTCATAACATAACATCAGAAAGAGAAAATTACAGGGTTAAAAATATCATTCTCTAAGAACTGCATAGGAACAGGAACCAAGGTAACAATATTTTAGTATTTTTTATTTTGAAAATACACAAAAGGCTGGAAGATGATGAAAGACTGTTACTTCAGTAAAACACCATGAATAGAATACTATTTATGAAACTCCTTGAAGCATGTTATCTGACTTCATTCTTTCTCTGTGAACCTCTAATATTCCAGAAGAGGAAATAGATGGTAAAATGTAAGAAGGGTTCTTCCTTCTTCAATAAATTGAGAGGTTAGGGAAATGTAGTGATGAACAGACCAATACCCATTGTCTTTTAACAAAGTGAAGTTTTCACCTCGCCAAAGTGTGACGAACTGTGATTTTGTTGTGTCCTTGAGCCTGAGATTAATGTATGCTGATACCCTAATGAGAAGACCAACTTGAAAAAGCTAATCAAAATTCCATTTATTTATAACTTCACATCATTTATTTGAGCTAATAAATGTGGCTGCCTTTATATCTGTAGAACAATATCAATAATGGAAATGTATTTGCATTTTTAACATTGTAGAAATTCCTATACATGCATTTTAAACAGAGGTTTGTTGTCAAATTTATTTTCCTTTGCAAATAAACAAAGAATAGCAGCTTATTTATATCATACAGTCAACCTTTAAAGCATACTGAAGATGACCACAGTATCTCCTTAAATATCACGGAGTTGGTACATCCTGCCATTATAAATAGAGCTGAAAATTACAACTCATTGAAAAGATTCTGAATTAACAACTCTGAAAAATCATGACTCAATCCCAACAATGCCTCTAAAAGAAAAAAAAAAGTAACAAAGCAAAACAAAATGCAGTTAGTAACTCAATCTATTACTTTTTAATAAGGTTATTTCTTGATACTAATGCATGGAAGATCAGGTGGTATGTCATCAGACCCTAGACTGATTAGGATTCTGGAGTTTTTCATATTCTTCAGCATAGTGTTGGCAGTGGTCATTGAGGAGGGGCTGATTAGCTTCATCCATGTTGTTTCTGGCACGAATCAGACAAGAAGCACCCACAAAAAGGACTGCTACCAATAATAAAGCAGCAACTACTGCTATGGTAATGATCTCAGGTATACTAAAATTCTGACCTATTTGAAAAATAAAATAAGAGTACAAATATTAATATTAAAAGTCTCCACCAAATAGTGAACATTCCAAACTAAGGCACTATTCCAGGCACTTTGACAGAAATCTCCATTTTTAGCTTTTTAAGCCACATTGCTTAAACCTAGCATCTGTTATCATGAAGGTTCTTTCTAATTTCTTTTAGTGAGAGTACATAATGGAACTGTTATTATTTCCATTTTAAAGGTGAAGAAATGATGACTCAAAGCCTTCAAGTCCTTCAACCAAGGTCACTACTTGGTTAGTAGGAAGAACAACCAGTTTTGGAGCTCAGGCTTTTCAAAATCCATGATACTCCACTGCCTTTGCTGAGAAAGATATATATATTTTTCTATATTGGGGATTGAACATAGGGTCTTGTGTTTGATTACCACAAATTGTTACTATTGAGCCATCTATCCAGCCCTTTTTGTTTTTTTAGATGGGGTTTCTCTATCTTTGCCTGGCTGCTGTTGAACACAGAATTTTGTTTCCTCTGTCTAAAGTAGCTGGGATTACACCCACACCTGGGGAGAAAGATTTAAAATCGAACAAGATAGTACTGAATTTCAAAATCTCAGAAAAAGAAACTTTAGATTATCTCAATCCATCCTTATTTATAAGTAAACGGAGGGGACATGGTATAGGAGAAAAATTGGGGTCTATTACATGGGCTTAAGCTCAAACTCATTCTCTCCCCTTGCCAGAAACATGATCTTTGAGAATTAACCTAAGTCTAAGATTCCTTATTTGCAAAATGAGAAATAAAATACCCCCCTCGAAACATTGTGAGGATTAAATGAGATAGACTGCTGTATAGTCAGTTTAGTATCAGGTCAGCAAGAGCTCTGTGTAAATGTTAAATTCCCTGTCTTTATCCCTGAACAAGATCCAAGTGAGAGCTTCATATCCAAATGGAAAACATAAGCTTCAGAATACTGTGATTACTTTGAAGTTGTAAGATTTGCTTTAGGAAAATATCACAGTAAAAACACATTTTCAACACTCACTTGCCCACTGAACTTCATAAGTATATCCCAGGTTGTCTGGAGCAGTAACAAACATTTCTGTGTTGGTAACTGGAGGCCAGAATGGTACCATATTATATTGTCTATTATGTCCAATAGGGGCATTCTCCAATGGGAATGTGGATATATCTAAAATGTGTCAAAGATAATTGTTAATAGATACAAAGTTAACATTAATATCATTATATTCTGAAGGTGTCCCATATTCAAGAAGAACATGAAAAAGATGTTTCTAATATTTTACACTGAATAAAGACATAAAAAAGCATCACTGCAGGAGAGTAGGGAATCACACAGAACAAAGTTCAAATTCTTTGCATGTAGCACCAGCATATCACTTAATAGAAAAAGAATGTTTAAAAGGGAACAATGTTAGTATTGTGACATCTATGATGATTGTCAATTGTTCTATTTTTAGATTAAAGAAACAAATTTTATAAAACTTGTTAAACTTATTTTCAAAACCAAAGGAGATAAAGCTTTAATTTGCTGTAGTATTGTCTATAATTTAAATTTGGGAGATGGTATATTTATTGGTGGTTGCCCTTACTCTGAATATTTCTGCTTAATATTTGTCTTTTTCTCTGTTTGCTTTTAGAGGAATCAATCTTAAATTATTTCCAGGTTTTTATAGTTACTGAAAAGATGCTTAAAAATTTGAATCAAATATCTAGAATTCAATTTACTTCTTACCGTCTCATGTCTTTCTATGTATATCTAACCCATTAAAATACAAAACATTTATTTTTATATTGAGTTTCTGAATGGTAGGTTCTCTGTAGCAAAAGATTTGTTCTTTTTATTGCTGTTTGTTCTATATTTATTTAAGTACAATTAAATACAAAATTGAGTGTCATAAAACCAGAGTTGGAAGTGCATTGGACAGGACGCTAATGGGAATATATTTAGAAGACCTGGCTTATGTGAGGAGTCCAGCAAGGTGTGGATTGCCTGCTTGCATGAGGTGTTACTGCCTCAAAAGTCACTGTTGTCCTGTGAATCTTAGTGGGATGCTTTAGCATCGAGTCTGAAGAGCAACTGATCTTAGAAATGGCAAAAGTGTTTATATTTTTGTTACTTTAAATATACTGTGTATTAAAGCTAGTTAAATATTTATTTATTAAAATTTATTCAACACCTACTAGTGCTAGGCACTGGTCTAGACATTGGGGCTGTAGCACTGGAAAAAAAAATAGAAAAAAAACCCCTTAAACTTCTGTCTTTAAGGAACTCATATGTTAGTATATTATTAGTAGCTATTTGTTAAAGTTACTCATTAAGGTTAATAATTTAGATAAACATTTAAAATTTCAATTAAACATATCTATTGAATCTTGAGATGAACAGCCTTAGCCCAATTCAGCTTCAGCTGTGTGATAAAGTTAAGCTAACATGAGTGAACGAATAAATAATAAAAATAACAATAGCTATTGGGTTGTCATGTAACTTCCCCATCTCTCTTAATGTTAAACCCAACCTTGAGTCTCTCTCTTCATTTCCCTTTGGATCTTACCATCTCACTGTTCTCCCCCCACTCCCACTCTGTTCCAGTCACATTGGATCCTTTTGCTCTATTTTCTTGAGGTGATCTTCTTCTATATAGCTATTTAGTGCTCTCTTTTCCAACTTTCTGATTTTTATTTGTCTACAAAGACTTTCCATCACTTAACATGGTAGGTATTTATTTACATTTGCTTATTGTTATTTCTACCAACAGGCAGGAACGTTACAGGAGAAAATATTTTTCTGAGTTTTGTGTTCTACTTCAGTACCTAGAATAATGCCTTGGAAATAGTAGTGAAAGGAATTGTATAGGTATGTGTGATTTCTTCCTGTCTTTCATGACTCAAGAGGTAAAGTAAAAGATATGTCTGTGACATGTATAAACTGCTTCTTTTGTTAAAAAAAATGCACTAAACTGGGCCACTGTGTTTAAAACTTAGTTCATAATTCCCAGTTGAGAAAAAGGAGGGAAATTGGATTATACATTATGCAGATCCACAATGTTAGTGAATAGAAACTAACATTGCTGTCACTAGAGTTTGATGGTGTGTATTACACTATCTCATGTTTAATAAGAGGGTTCCTCAATGGAAATTATAATGTGAATGACTGTAATTTCCTTTAGCTATAAAATGTAATTCTTATTCCATTCAACGTAATAATTAATTCTATGTCTATGAACTTGAATAGCATTCAATATCTATAAAAACCTTTAATACATTTTGAAAAATAATCACACTCTCTACCCCTATGCTTATTTTAAAAACTATTTCTGCTTTATGGACAGTTTTAGAAAAATTTCCAATGTTTGTTATTTTTGCTTCTTAACATGGTTATTTTATGACATTGTTTTCCAAAAGACATTTTTAGGCATGTGGAATATTTAAGAAGGCAGTTGATGGGTTTAGCTTTCATTTGATTTGTAAATATTTATATTTACTTATCTTATAATTTTATAGCTACATTTTATCAGAAATATTCATAGATCAATTGAATATTTTTCATTTGTGGTATTTTCTCTCCCCATTACTTACTAGGGTAACTGAGAAACTTTAGGCTATACATCAAACTCATTAAAGGGGGCTGGAGGAAAATAAGGAGCAAAGGTATTTTTCAGTAGATCATCAATGACCATTAGATTAGAATCCAGAAAATCCTTAACAAATTGTTATTAGTGTGAAACAATTATGTTTCAATGAAAATATAAAAGGCAAAGGAATACATGCTTTCACAACTGAAAGAAAACTATATTTAAGAGACTTGCCAGATTATTTATAATTGTCCATTTCCTCTGAAAAGATTGTTAATATTCATGGCATCCTGGATGGCTGTATAACAATGTATAACAATTTGTACATTGTTGTGTAGTTCCCAGAAGTATATGTTTAACAAAAGTTGATTTTGCTAATTCCTAAATTTATTAATTCCAGTTTATTTGTTAGATACAAAGTAATCAAGCTAAACATACATAAAATGATAATTAAGATTATAAGAAAGAGAGATGTTTGAAAAACTTTAGGAAATTTGTTAAAAGTGAATGAAATATAGCTAGAGATTAGGAAGCAAGCAATATGATTTTAAAGGTTTAGGGAAGTGTGAAAATCTAAAACACTGTACTCAGATTGCATCACAAAATCTTGATTTCTTGTTTTATGGATGCTGTATATTGTAGATTATTAATTGTGCTTATATTTAAATGTGTAAATGCACATGGACTAGGAAGGGAAATTCCAATCAATGAATTCATAGCTGACTGAAAATTTAGTATTTGTGTATAAGTTACTTCTTTCTGAAATGATTTCCTGATGGAATAAACTATTTTGACCAACCTATCCATGAATGGTCCTGAGTAGGTTAAGGTAGAGACTTTGCATGCACATGCACGTAAGAGTAAGAAAATGACCTCATGATGTCAATGTACATGATAAAATAAAAGCACAAATTCAAAGCTTGGAAAAAATTTAAAATACAAAAATTTACAATGTTTTAACTAGTTGGAGCATTTTCATGGTTTTAAAAGCAACGAAATTCTCTTAGCTAAGCAGGAATGCAGAAAAAGAGGTCTTTTAAATGATATTTTAGAAAATATACTGAAAGGAACTTAAAAGAGATTTCCTATGGTAAAATATAAAAATCATCATTAACTTTTCAAGTTGAACAAAATTTCTATTTATGTGAGGTTATAAAGTAATAAAACTCAAAACTGGATTTGGGATATGAAATATTTAGTCTTTAGGAACATCAAAGAAGAACTCTGCCAAGTTTTCCTATTCCTCATTGCTTTTTAAGTATTTTTTGGAAGATATGGACAATATAAATTTGGGTAACGTGGCTATTATCTCTGCATAACAAACCTGAGAAGGGATCACTTGGTTAGTCCTAGTGAATGATAGTTAAGTTTTATCTTAAAATAACTGTTCTGAGGGTCTTGGGCAATTTCAAAATGGTTTTGAATATTTGGAAATGGCTAGATAGTCTAACTATTGTATCCTTATTTTAAGGAGATTTTATGCATCATGTGCTAGCCTTAACTGATAAGTATGCCATTAGAATGATTCCCTTTGTGGAGCCTGCAAAAAAGCATATGAAAATGACTTACCAGCATTATATCTCCTAAGCCATTCATCAAAGACTGCATCAGTGAAAGTATGCAGGAGGACAAAAATAGGATCATTTGGAGACAAATGTGTTTGTCCTCCTGTTCCATTCAGGAAGAGATGGGCCAAATTGTGAAGACTTCGAACAGCAGGGTCATATTTTCCAGTGGGATCACTGTACCCTAGATTTAAAAGTAAGGATAAGAATTGTAGAAAACATTGTACATATCTCATTTTTTTTTCAAGTCAACAGCAGTGATTATATTAGGAAACAATTTTTCTAAAGCTTGTCAGGCTAAATTTTGCCTTAGTATAATAGCACTGCTTCTCTGTATCAATGGTTGATGACATTTGCTTGCTGTACTCAGAACTAGGTTAGTTTTAAGCTAGTGGCATGACATTCTAAATGTAGCCTCTAGGTTAAAAATAATAACCTACAAAGAAAACCAGTCAAAATTTATGGAACATTGTATTTTGACAAGGCAGACCCTATTCTACATGGAAATATAAATAGTGGAAATCTCCAGGGTTTACTAAAAGCTGCTGACAAAATTGAGAGAGCACCAGTTCGGACTGTCCTGAAACTTAAATTGCCGGATGTGAACCCCAGTCTCTGAACCTACTCCTTTTGAATGACTGTCAGCATGTTTATTTTTAGAAAATTATTTTTTGGGGAAATTTAAAATTTTCAGCACTTCCTACAATTCCTGTGCTAGTTTTAAATATCCGGAAAGTCTACTATCAAAACACTTATTTAACTTTTGATAAATGTCTCTACAAATTAGAGAGAAGATGAGGCTATATGCCTAACGGGTCACAAATAAAGATGACATGGGATGGAATTATCATAGCATTTCACTGGCTTGAATGCTCGTTTGATAGTTAGACTACCTCATTCATTCATTTGTTCATTTTTCATATAATTATTCCCTCATTTTTTTTGATTCAGAAAACATTTAAAGATTGCCTATAATATATGTGGCATGTCTTTTCATTTAATCTGCCAGGAAAACAATGTAATTTATCTTCTGATTGGGCATTAATAAAACACAACCTGCATATTCTTTTAGAAATCAGCACATACAGCTTTATATAGTTATTAAAATTAAAACAAGCATAAAGATAGGTAATAATGGCATACAATGTTGATGATAAATGGGATGAGAATTAAAAATAATTATCAGAGCTGGGTATGTGACACATGCTTATAATATCAGTGACTCTGAAGATGGAGGCAGGTGGAGCAAAGTTAGAGAGACTGTATCTCAAATACAAATAAAACAAACTAACTGGGGGCATACCTCAAGGGGTAGAGAATTTGCAGGAGTCCCTGTGTTTAATACCATTTTTTGTGGAGGTACATTTAACATGTGTACTGCTATATTTAAATTAACTCTTGACAGCACCAAGTTTATCATAAAATTAAATATAATTATATTCATTTAAAAAGTTAAGATATATATCAAGCATGATATAGAGAAATCAAAATTTATTCTTCAAAGAGACTGGACTTGGGAAATTTGAATTTGACTTGTGCTTTCTCATTAACTCACTGAATACCATGGGAAAGTCATTTCACCTATTTGGACTTTGATTCTTCAGCTTTAAAATACTTGAAAGTGTTAAATAAGGAAATCATATGAAAAATAAATAGATGCTAATTTAAACTTTCATAGACCTTTAAAAAAAAGTTACATGATGGTACAACCTAAATAAAACATGTTCAAACCAGACTTTACTAATTGTTTGAAATTAAAAAAAATTGTTACTCCTATTTTTTTAAAGAAACATTTTTATAACTGCCTTGAATATTATTTGTTAATGCTATACCTTGATATATAATTATACATACTGGTCAGATAGATGCCAGAAATTTGAATTTCAATAGTTTTTAGGTATTTAAGTGTGGTGAATAATTTCTGATGGCTTCTCTTATGATAATTAAAGTTCCATGATCTGATACTTTTTTTTAAGACAGTTAATTTTTGAGGAGAAAACTGATCAATTCATAATAGGCAGCCCAATTTATATAAACTCATAGGATCAATATAATAATCAAAGTTTTTCATAGAGTCCTAATTTGGGTACTTCAGTTTACTTTCCTAATAATATCAATTCAAACCACCAATTTCATTTACTTGCCTTCCACTGTGTTCCGGAAACTGTTTGTAGAATTGGAATAAAAAGGAGGTGTGTCAAATACACCAACTTCCAAGCACTGAGCAACATCCTGTGGTGCAGGAAGACGCTGCACCATTGGTCTACCCACGTTTCCAGCTGGATTTCTCCTGATTGGCCCACCTTCAGTGCCTGGGGAAAAATGGGGTAGGCAAACATTTATACAATGTTTACAGGTCTTTTTGTTGCTCTCTACAACGTTATGCATAGAGATAACATGAAAAAATAGATTCTGTTTGGTAGGAAACAAATTTTTAAATGCATGCTTTGTGGTATTAAAGAGAAAAAAGAAATCTAAGCTACCATATCCTACTTTTGCGATAAGTGGAAAAATATCTAAGAGAAAATGATTATACTAACAGATGCATGTACTGGAATTTGTTAAATTGGCATAATATGTTTTTTCACAAAAATGTGTCAAAATGATGCCAGGTGCCAGTGGCTCATGCCTATAACTCTAGCTGCTCAGAAAGCAGAGATCAGAAGGATCATGGTTTGAAGACCGCCTGGGCAAATAGTTCACGAGACCCTATCTAGTAAAGACCCTTCACAAAAAAGGGATGGTGGAGTAGCTCAAGGTGTAGGTCCTAGTTCAAACCCCAGCACTGCAAAAATAATAAAGAATGTATCAAAATGAGAATTCCATGGAAATTGATTTTATCAAAATAATCTCACAAACCTAATTTCCAAACTGAAATCTGTATTATATGATTTTTTTTCATATTTCAAATGTATTTATATGAAAATTTGCACCCAAATGCCATCACTTTCAAGCCTTCATAAAAATTAAAAAAAGGCTCTAAATCTCTTTGGCAAGTGGCACATACTTTAATCACACACATTTTTCTACATTTTAATCAATTAATGTGATAAATAATTATGCTGTTTGAAGGACGGCAACAAGCAAGTAAACACAGACCTGTGATACTAAGGATAGATCATGTTATAGGTGCCTTAAATGAGGGAGAAAGAGATGAAAAGTGGGGAAGGGAGAAATCGAGAGAGAGGGAGAAAGACCCTTTCCAGTCAGATGGCTTCTGAAAGACTTCATAAAGAATAGATTTACAAAGAACCCTGAAGGATTGAGGAGAATTTCCACAGATAAACTAGCAGAAATTTTACAAAATAGTCTATAGGAGGTATCAAGAGATGATAAGCTTTCTTCCATTAATAACAATAATCAATTATATATTAGAACAAGAACCCCTATGTTCTAGCTCACCAGTGAATCCCTTGATTTCGGCACAGTGCTTGGCATTTTTTAGGGGTTGAGAAGTTATTTGGTAAATATTCTTGAATAAAGAGTTCATGCTAGCTGTGAGAAGGGATCTGTTTGGAAAGGTGACTGCTTGAAGGACAGGGCAGTATAGGAGCACAGTGGACTGTAGGAATGATGGAGTATTAGATGAGAGTCCTATTGTGAAGGAATCAAGTACTGAGATGAGAAAGTTATAGTTACTTCATTAGGAAGCAGGGAGAAATTAATGCCTTACGTTGATGGGAGAAGAGGAGATTGGTTAGGAACATGTTGCATCTTTCCATTCCAGAGAGAAACACATATGCCCTCCAAGCACAAGGAAAATAATACTCTGCACTGGAAAAGATAGCACTGCAATTTCAACTCATGTTCCTTTAACTTGTTTAAGCTGATATTTTGAGGATTACTATTCTGAAAGTTATCAATTAATCTCATGAAGAAAAGCATTGGTAACATGCCATTTCATAGTAGAGAATTCTGATAGAAAAGAGCCTAGCTGAGCCAGTTTAACTTTATCCCAGTGAATTTTAAATTTGTTTGCACAGGGAAAACTTCTGCCAGGGCACCTATTAACATCTTACGGATCAGAGTTCTGTGGAATTCAGAATTCCGGCTCTAAATGTCTGAAGGAGAAGATAGCTTTAAGAAGTATTGTGAAGAAGGAACAGAGTTTTTCATATGATGAATCAAAATGATATTTTAATGGCCAGAAAAATGTTAGATGTCAGTAATTCATGTTTTTAGTATACTCAGTTTTATACAACAAGCATAGGGAAGACAAGGATTGGTCTAAAAGTGTACATATTAAAAGTCTTCTGGAAAAAATCATCAATGAAATCACAGAAATGAGTAAGATTTTCCAAGAAGCAAAGAAGAGAGAATAAAGAATTTTTATGAGGACTGAATAGAATACCATAAAGCATGTCATACTATATCACACACATAATATGTGCTGGATAAAAGTTTAGTTCCTTTTTTTCTCTGCTTTGCTTAATAACTAAAATGCTTGGTTTTATATCTTGAACTGTAACAAAGGGTGATCTAAAATTTATTTAAACCTTAATAAGTATTTTTTAATGAAAATATGTCTCTGAATTATGAGACTGATTAACTGACAAGAAAAACTGTAACGAAAATAAAATATCATTACTTTTCTTCTTCTCTACAATAGAATACTTATTTACCCATTTAATTTGTGCTTTTTTAGTATGCAGTCATCAGCAGGACTGGAACGTGTATGAAAAACTCCCAGGCTCAACTATAATAAGTTGGTCAAAGGAGATACACATTTTAGCATTTGAAGATATCCTGATCCTTGATTTCATTTCTATGCCACAAGGTGGTTGCTAACCAAGCACATAAGAATTTATTCTAATTTTTAAACTTCCACAGAGAAAAATTTCACAGACCATTGCATTTCTTATATCTTTACACAGCTAAGCAATCTTCTAATAGTGAAAGAAGTACACCTAGTTCCTCTGGCTTCTTGGTCTTTTGGCTAAGATCAAGTATAAAATATTCTCTTTAAAGTTTAAAAGTAATTTAATTTTTGATGCATACAATATGTACACAATGTTATAAGTGTAACAATAAAAATAATTTCCAGTGCTTCTAGTTTTCATATGGAAGAACAAATTTTGAGAATAGACAGAAATGTCTGAAGAAGAAAATAAGATAGGTCAGATAACTCCAATGAATAAGACTTTGCGTTAGTTGCACTAGAATAGGTAATAATGTGGTTTACAGAAGGAAATGAGAAGCTCATGAACGACTCACGTGTAACTTAAACTTGACTTGTGACAGAGACATCTGAGAAAGGATGCTAGCACAACTGGCTAGACCTTCATTCCCTTACATTCGCTTTGGGAGAGCTGAAAAACAGCCTGAAGACCTCACTTGCTACAGTATCATTCTTTTCTGAAAGGTATTCTCTGTATTATCTTTAATTCTTGGCTGAGTAAGTGTAAAGAAGTTTTCTTTCCTCCCTGTTACCCTCCCCTCCCTCTCTTCTTTTTTCCCCTCCATTTCTTCCTCCTTCCCTCCATCCTCCCTTTCTTTTTCCTTTACTTTTCCCTCATTCCCTTCGTCCCTCCCTCTCTCCCTCCCTTCCTTCCTCTTTCTATCCCTCCCTCTCTGCCTCTCTTTCTCCTTTCTTTCCTTCCTTTTTCCCAGAGCATTTCCAACTCTTTTGCATATTTCAAATTTTCATGGGAAAAGTTTTCTTTGTAATTCCAACCCAAGACATATGACTACTAAGCAGTGTACAGTATGCTAAGAAGATTAACTTGTACAACTAGATATTTCAAAACTAAGAAAGTTGGCAACACACTGACCAAACTACTCAAGATAAACAATGTAAAAAAATATACAGGGATTTTCTGTTTTCCCTGAGTACCTTAAAGATTGCTTTGAATGTCCTAGGCACTCAATGATTATGTGCACATCGATTCTCTACTGCAATAGTAGATTTTATTCCAAAGTCCTTAGTTGAATGAATGGCATTCTGGGTAGCATAGTTAATCTGTTTATCTAGTAAGGAATTCTGACTACTAGTCATTTGGAACTTACTGTTACAAAGTGTTCCCAAGGTATCATAATCTTCCAAGGATTCACAGACCACTCGCCATTGAGAAAAGATGGAGTTGGGGCTTATGAGAGTGGAATCAAAGTTGCTTCTTGACCCCATCATGTCATCGGTGCAGACATCACAGATGTTTTTCCCAGTTGCAAAATTCCAGTAAGGAAGGGAGAAAGAGGGCTCCTGTAACATTTCCTAGATCACAGAAACTCTGTTAGTAGTCACTGGTTAAATTCACATTCATCCTTTTGCTTGTTTTTGTCTCTGATTGTCTATTTCTTTTAGCTCTTTTAGCCACTAAGGATCCAGTTAGTACCTCAGTGTTGTCTGAAGAGCCCAGAGGAGGTAAAATCCTTATTTAACATAGCTTGTAATTTACTGTGAGGAGACATGTAGCCACTGGAGGGAATGAAGGTCAACTCTTAAAATGGAGAAATTTCTGTGAATGATTTTTGGGAGAAACCTCTTTCCTGGCAGATGATATACCAAAACTATCCCTAATAATATCCACTCTTGGACATTTTCACCTTTTTTCCACTTTCCTATTTTTATTTAAGCATCATAAACTCAGTTTGATAGTGTCAGCTCTAGTCTTGAAATTTCTTTTTGGAGCATTGTTTTTTTATTATTTTCATTTATAGTTTAGTTTGAATATCTATAGCCAGATGTTGGTTGGTCATAAATCACACAGTCTGATTCATGCTTATCTGTCTGGACACTAAAGATATTATGTTTGGAGACCCCAGCTCCAGAATCTATACTAGTAAGACTCAGGCTTCTGCCTGAAATGCATATGGATAGCAGATACTAAGCAGAAGCAGAATAAATCTTTGTCCCTATTTTCTTTATGATTTTAATTTTTTTGGTGGTACTGGGGTTTGAACTCAGGACCTCACACTTGATAGGCAGGTGTGCTGCTATTTTTATCACTTCTCTAGCCTGTATTTTTTTGTAGACCAAAGATCCAATTTCTGTTTAGAACTGATCTCACTTCTCTAGCCTGTATTTTTATCACTTCTCTAGTCTGTATTTTTTTGTAGACCAAAGATCCAGTTTCTGTTTAGAACTGATCTCACATTAAAAAAAAAAAAAGGGCTGGGTTAAAGGTCACATGCCTTTATCTCAAATAAGCAAAAACGTCATTTTCTTCTTGTTTTCTTTTTCTTCTACAAAATCAGAGAACAGGTCTTGTCCTGGGGAAGGGTGGTTGGTACCAGTGGGAAAAGAGGGGTGGCAGGGAAAGTGGGTAGGACGGTGAATACAGTACAAAAAATGTGTACACATGCATGTAAATGCACAAATGATACCTGTTGAAACCATTCCAGGAACAGGAGGAGTGAGGGGAGAAAGGAGAGAGGTGGAGGGGGTGAATTCAAGTATGATGTATTTGATACATTGTAAGATCTTTTGTAAAGGCCACAATGTACCTCCACCCAGTGTAACAATAAAAAAGAATATCACATGCATATTTTATTGTGTCCCTTAAAAACATATATATTTACTTGTTAATTCACATCTTTTTTGGGGGGACGGGGCTCACAGTTTTGTCCTTGCTAAGCAGGTGCTCTACCAGAGTATGACATTTAAATGTAAGGACTGCTATTGTTTTTACCTCTCAAAAATACTCAGAACATTTTGCTTTTTCACTTTGAATCCTTTTTTTAGAAAGCATTTCTTTATCCTTGAGTGTTTTAGAAGCTCAAATACTTTCCAAGGCATCCCCAATTATTGATCTCTAAGGATTTGTATTCGTCATTTAAAAACCATCATTATGGTTCACAAAAATTAGTGACAGCTTCCAAGGGATCATTAAGAATCAGATTTAGTTCAGCAACTGACATTTGGGAGCCAGAGCATATTCACGTGGCATTTTAGCTGTGCATTATATTTAGATTGTAATTTGTTGAATGCCTTGTGCTGCTGGGTTTTAAAAATGTAAGTCATTGAGGTTGAAGTTTACAAAGGCAACATTGAGGCTTTTAAATACTTTTCACCTGCCCTTTCATTCTGGCGTGCCCATGGGAAAGTGACTTGAAAGCATGAAGATCTAGAGTCAATTACAAATGACAGATTTATCCACTCATAATCTACTAAATGTCTTACTTCTAATCAGAGCTATAAAATGTGATGTTCAGAGTACAGGATGAATTCATTTAATCATTCTCAAAGTACTTTGAGGATAGACTGCATTCAAATATCTTACCTTGAATTTTAGTGAATTAATTGTCTCCTCACACAATTTTTTTTCCTTGAAATAATGCTGTCATAAGTATAAGGCAAATCAATAAAGGAGTATGAATACCTTTTCTGTCTCAGACCTTTTTTAGTTAGCTTTTAGATTTTAACTTGGGGGTAGAAATTCATTACTATTACTTCACACAGGAAATAAGCTTAGTTTATGGATTTTTTCTACTTGAGATCTAGTCATTTATACTTTTCTTTTAATAGGACAATACTTTTCTCAAGAAATAGAGAGAAGTTGGCAAAAGAAATAACAAGTTATCTATGTTACCAGGTACTTAGTTTATGTTGAGTATAACTGCTTATAAAAACAAGCATGAATAACTGAGCTGTGGCTCACTTATACCAAAAAAGCCAATATCTTTTAATTAAAATTAATGCCAGATTGAAATACCTTTTTGTCTTTTTAGAAATTGTATATACTTAAGGCACACAATAATATGATATATTGTGATGCATATATATAAAGAAACGATTACTAGAGTCGAAAAATGAACATATCCATCATTTCAAATAGTGATGAGATGATTTTAGATAGATTTCATCTGTGGGAAAATATGACAATCTAAATGAGAAAGAATTTGTCCTTGATTTAAACTCTATACCATATGGGAAAGAAGCATCAACTGGTGTGCTGAGGTATATATTTGGAAGTAGGAAGATTGAGAGGTATATATACACTTATTTTATTCAGAGCAGAAGGGGGCATCTGCTATTTTCAGTAGAGAAGAAAGAAATGCAAAATGAGATTCTTTTGTTTCAAATTTCATGAGTCACTTTTTTTTCAACTTTCAAGCAGTAGAGTAGTTCCAAACTTTTAATTCATACCCATCACAACATTTTTTTTTGGTGGCACTGGGATTTGAACTCAGGGTCTCATGCTTGCTAGGCACGCACTCTACTGCTTGAGTAATTCATATTGAAAAATGTCTCTCAATTGGCTTTCTCATCATTGGCATTTCTTTCTTTTAACTTCACAAAAGATCAAGTTTAATTAATAAGTAAGTAATCAGTATGGGGCAAAACTTAGCTAGATGTCAAAGGCATCTAGCCAAACAACAGTGAATTAAAATGACTTTACACATAGGGCACCTCTTCTGTAAAGAACCTAAAACTGAAGTTTCATGCATACCTGCATGTCTCTCTCCAACTGCAGTAGGTGGTACCTGTGCCATGTGAGAAAAGCTGGTCCTTCATGAGAGAAATCCACTCCTCCAAAGCTTTCTTGCTGTGCCCCAAGGAAGGTCTTTTTGACCGAATAATAGTGTGTCCAAACAAAATAGTTATAAATGGAAATGTTTTCAAATTGTGGTGTGTTACCATCTGGTCCCAGTATTTCTTCTGACCTCCTGGTGGCAATGACAAATTGAGGGTGAGTTGTGTGCTTTGCCATATCCAGGGCCTGGACAAGGTGACTCCTTTCCTCTGTACTTAAGTCCAGAAGATTTCTCCTGACTTTGAAGGATAAAGTAAATCAGACATAAATGTATCTACCTGTGAGGATTGGTAGAGAATGAGCACAGTCATATTATAACACACATATCTCAGTTCTCTATTAATGGTTACATGAGCTGATGTTCAAATCAGTTATAAATGATTTTCCTAGTTGAACATCTCATATCCTTGGAACCAGATGTGTTTCACATGTTGGATTTTGTAAGACTTGTGAGACTATAAATAATGAGATATCTTGGGGATAGAATCTACATCTAAACACAAACACATTTGTTTCATGTATATTTTATATACATGAAAGACTGAAGACGGTTTTAGACAACAGTTTTAATAATTTTATACATAAAACAACTTTGTGGCATAAAATTTTCCACTTTGGGAATCACATTGGGGATAAAAATGCTTCACATTTTGGAACATTCTGGATTCTGGGATTAAGGATTCTCAGCCTAAATGCTTTTAAAAATAGCCCTAACATTTCTTCTAAACTGCTTTCTCTCTCTTCCTTTCCCATTTTCTCTGTATTTATCTTTCCTATTAATGTTATGGTTTCTAATGACTATCTTTACGTGAGGATTTTATGATTCTTTGACTCTGTCATATTTATTTCTGATCATGATCAGCATTTTTCTTTGATTTTTTGCATAATAAATTTTGCAAAAATGAGGCAGATGGTTCAGCATAGTGGTTAAAGCCAGAGAATTGTTTTATGTCTTTTCATACATTTTTCTAAGCTTATTTTTTCATCTGTGAAGTGTGGATTAAAATAATACCTGCTTTACAAAGCAGTAACGATCAAAGAGCACACACACAAAAGCAATTAGACCAAAGCCTGGCTCATAATAAGGACTCAATAGATAGTCTGTTAAACCCTTGCTCCAGTCTCTGGCACACAGAAAAACAACCAAGTACCGCTGTGTTACGGTTTGATACCTTATTACACAGTGCTACTTAGGCTACAGACTTTTGTTCTTATCTAAAATGCTTGAAATTGACTATCACAGTGAGAAATTTCTTTGTAGGCCAGGACATATTGTTGAAGAAGATGACATATAGGAGCTAGGGAGATCTTAGTGGTTTACCAGTTACCAGATATATGGGCTTGACCTTTCTGAACCTAATCTATAACAACTAACATCCTCCAAGTCAGCATATAGTGGTTGCTCAACAAATGTTTTGGAAGGAACTATTATTAATCAGAATATCTGAGATTCAGTCCCAGTACTTTAGATTGAGCAAGTTTCTTTAATTTTCTAAGCTTCAGCTTGAGAAAAGAGAGGGTTTATGTCTGTGATTTGCAGGTGTTCCTCCAACTGAAATGATTTAAGATCCTGTGAAGAGCCTTGAGTGTCATTCAGGACTGTGCACCCATTCATATCCCCATGTACCTGTGAGAACCTTCTGGTTGCAGGCAGTTCCTCTCCATCCAGGTCTGCAAGTGCCACAGTTGTATCCTGAGAAGTTGCCATTGCAGAGACATGTCCTATTGAAGAACCGCAGGGGCCAGCTCTCCCGGTCATCTCTCCCATCATGGGGGTAATGGGGGCTGTGAGGTCGAGAGTCTGCTGCCACTGCCTCACACCTGCCCCTTCCTGATGATGAACCACAACGGTCTGTCCCAGGTCCAGATGAGAGGGACAGGTCTGGGCAACACATGCCACTTCTCAAAGCCTCAACAGTTGCACATTCCCTTGGAAATTGAGCCCAGGCCTGCTGAAAAAGCAGTAGGAGGAAGATAGATTCCAGAAAGAAGAGTTTGTATGATTTCATTCTGCAGGAAGCAAGAGTACAGGACATTGATCTGGCTTGCAGACCTTTGTATGGAGGAGACTGAGGTACTTAAATAAAAATCCAGCTGAAATAAAAAAGCAAAATGGAGTTATGCAAATTCTTTTCAGTATTCTTAAAAAGGGTATGAGCCCTTTCCAAAACACCTGCAAAATGAAATCCCTATATGTAAAATGACATTTCAAACAAGTAATAAAGGAGGAATTTATCTCTAAAACATTGACATTTCTAACACATATAATTATATCCACTGTCCTGATAATTGAGTTTTCTTCATTAAAAACTTCTATTCATATAAAAATACTTATCCTGGATTTCATTTATCAAAAGCACTCATTAGCAGGTCATCACCACTAATAACATTTAACCATGGATTTGAAAGGAGAATTGGGAGCTATTTCAAGCAAGTTAATTTGCCTAAACTCCCACATCCTAGTGGAATTCTGGCCAGGGTCCTCCTGCTCTCCACAGAGCTTCTCACCAGTACCTTAAATTCCTGAGTGGTTTCTCTGCCCAACTTCCCTTAGAGCTGAGTATTTTATATGTGCTTCTACCCTGATGTCAGAACTGTTAATTGCATATGGGTTTCTGCCAGATAACTAATCCCAAACTTGATCACCCAAACTGGGAGGGGCTGGTCCTTTCTTCTACTCTTCACTAATCCCTTTCACATCAATGGATCTTTCTGCCCTTTAACTACTCGTTTAGCACATGACTCCCTTCCCACTGATTTCCTTGTGATGGTTAAAGTTTTAAGAAAAGGTCAGAAACACTATTCTGAAGATAAGTCAGAGAAACTAGAGAGCTTTTGTTTTCATTATAGAGATATTTTCTTCCTTTGATGGTATATCTTTGGAGGATGAAACAAAATTAATTAGTTTCTCTTAGTGATACAAAGGCCAGGTTTTTTATGTTGTATTGTGTTCTGTCTTGAAAAACAGATGTCATTCTTACAGTTTATAGAGTATTTATAACAGAAAAGCATCAGATACAATCATACCAAATCATGAGTCAATGTCTGTGATGGTGCCTGCTGACTTTGGAGTTGGGTACTTCAACTACATTTCATAGTATAGTTGGTGACTGGTGTCCAACTCTGTTGTAAACCATCACAAAGATAATGGAACATGTTTATGAGCTGACTTCTTATTTCCTACTTTCTCTACAAGCTAGTATTCCTATGGCACATAATAGCTGTATGTATTTCTCCTGAAGTTGAAAACTCATGCATGTACAGTCATTCTTCAAATGTAAGCTTTAGCTTGGAATACGTAAGTACTATAGAAAATTTATCAGAATTCGTGTTCAATGTTGGTTGCCTACTTAATTACAAGCCATAAAATTCTCCAGAATACTGTATAAAACAAGTGAGTGTACAGTTAACAGCAAAATAGACAACTAAGGATGTGTCTATAAATTAAGGTGATAAAGAATAAGAGGAATCTCTTATTTATAGTCTTTTGTCTAATCTAGCAACATTATTTATGATAATCATGGTTTTCTCAAGTCATGGTCATTAAACTATGCACTGGTGAATTTAAAGTGTAATTCATTATTTTCATATTTTAGTCTCTTATGTATACAACAACCTGTTAATGTATATACATTTATGGATATTTTAAAAAATGCTTAAAAAACAATTCCTTATGATGAATTATATCATATGTAGGGGCATATTTCATATTTTTTCTCTTTTGTATCTCTAGCTTATTAGAATTGCACAGTTAGTATATAAGTAAGCTTCAATGACTAGATTTTGTTCACTAGTACTGTGTCCCTAAAGTGTATAGAAGTTGTTGCAGGTAAAGTCAAGTAGTTTTTAAATAGCAGTTTGATATATCATTGTAAGAATATACAATAATATATTTACCCATTCTCCAGTTAGTGATTATTTTTCAGTGTATTTTTTTTGTCTTGTGAAAGACACTGCTGCAGGTAGTCTTTAAATGTTTCCTGTCGAACATATACATACATTTCTTTGTGGTAAATATCTAGAAAAGGAATTGTTAGTCATCGGGTGTGTGAATATCTATAAGGTAATTCTAGATTCTTTTCCAAAGTGGTTATATAACTTTATATACCCACCACCAGGATTTAAGACTGCTTATTGATTAGCAAGCTGTCTAACACTTAGTCTTAAATAGATACAATTGTCAACTCTACTTATAATAGTCTACCTTTATCCTTGGTTTTACTTTCTGTGGTTTCAATAACCTGAGGTCAAATGTAGCCTGAAAATATTGATTGGAAAATTCTAGAAATAAACAATTTACAAGTTTTAAATTCATCATTATCAGTAGAATGATGAAATCTCATGGTGACCCATCTGAACATGAATCATCTCTATGTCCTGCGTTTCCACACTGCATATGCCACCACCAGTCAGTCACTTAGTAGCTGACTAAGTTATCAGATCACCTGTGTGGGTATTTCAGTGCTTGTGTTCAAGTAACCCTTATTTTGCTTAATGGTTCCAAACTGCAAAAGTAGTGATGCTGGTTACTTGGATATGCTAAAGAGAAATCATAAAGTACTTCCTTTAGCTGAAAAGGAAAAAGTTCTTGATTTAATAACAGAAGAAAAGAATCACATGTTGAGGTTGCTAAGCTCCAGGGTAAGAACCAATAGGATAAAACATCGAAATATAAAGTTCAATACTGTCCATGCTTTTAGGCGTCCACTGGAAGTCTTAGAATGTATTGCCTCAGATAGGAGGAGACTAGTGTACTTCCCACTGGATAAAATATCATAAAGCATTAATAATAAGACTAAATTTTCCATGAATGCTTGTAATAATTGTTTGTTTTTAGTTCTTCATTATCATCAATAATTCTTTTTTTTTAAAGGGTTGAACTATCAATAATTCTTAATCAACTTTTAGCCTCAGATTGCTTCCTTAGGTTACTTTTCTATGAATATAATGTTTGAAGTAGAGGATGTTAAAAAAAGAAGTTTTGAAAAAAATTTACATTGGGTAACTGACTATGGATAACTATAGAGATTATCCACATCATCACTTATAAATACGGTTGTAATTTTCAAAATAATATATTCAATTTGAATATTATAAATTAGTATATATCTATGATTATAGTTTAAAAGTTAGGTTTTAAAAATATGATGACCACTGACAAATTTTCTTTCTCATGATCTAAGTTCAATATTTTCACTAGAAACTTTTCACTTGCAATTTATATCATTACATTTTATTGAACCAAAAATTATTTTAAATATTAATTTTATAAAATTTGGTAAGGTTCTAAATTGAATATTGTATAGATTTAAATATTGCTGAAACAGTATGAGCATTTGTCTTCATTTGGGTCTTTAATTTTAATATACTTTGCAATTCTTGTGTCTTTATATACTCATTAATCCACATCTCAAAGTTTCTTATTCACTTTAAGCAAAGTTAATAGTGAAAAACAATAGATATAAGATGATATTTTGATAGTTTGCTTGTTCTCTTCAGATTTCCTGACAGATTTAATTAGATTATCATTTTTATTGCTTGAATAAAATTAATAACAATGTACTAATGGTTGGCTTTTGTTTTTAATTAATACACCAAAGTGATGTGTGTTAACTTTAGGAGGAAGCTGATGAAGGACATGTAGAACCTGATTATCTTTGTTAATTTTGTGTAGTTCTAAAATCATTCTAACATAGCATGTTTATCTGAAAAAGTATATCTAAATAGATACAATCTTTTCAGGTTTACTCACCTGTACAGATGTAAATAAATGCAGGATATCACATTATGTTGAAAGAAAAAAGAACACGGCTTTGACTATCTCACTTTTTTGTTGTCTAATTCCCAGATTTCCTGCAGGAAATGCTGATGAGTCCTACCTTCAACATTCTAAGACACCAAAGCTGAGGATTCAGACTGCTGCATTTAAGTCATAAATATACCTCCTTTCCCTCACTATGCAAGTGCCTTTGTTTCTCTGAGTCTGGATAGTGTTCAGATCAGTAAACTTAGATGAAAAAATACCCCTCAGAATGCAAACACCAATCAATACTATTTTAAATAAATAAACAAAGCTAGTTATCTTAAAGTGGATGGAAAATGCTGAAACTAATATCTAATTCACAGATGCCTTAGTAGACTATAATGCATTTTACATGTTTTCATTATTACCAAAGATAACAACATACAATCAACATTACCAGTAGTCCTATAAAATAAGAGCTTAAAACACTGAAGAAAAATACAGAAATCTGAAGTGGCATACTCTATTAATAGTGAAAACCTGGAAACTGACCACCTGTAGAGAACCTTACCACACATAATGATATTATTCTTCAGCTTTCAGGTGTTTCTTAATGCAGGAGGCTATTGCAAAGAATACAAAGAAATTATATTTACATTCTCTCTCTTTGACAGAATGTTGTGAAATGGTTAAAGTGCTATAATTATTCATGACTTAGGCTAGGAAAGCATATGCAACAGTCCTTGGTTGATTAAAGAAATTGTTTTTAAGATTTCTCCAGTAGAAAAAGGTCTCACAGTGATTTTTGCCTATGATTAGACAATGGATAAGTCTAAAGCATTTGCCTATCTCACCTATCTATAGCATAAATGAAATAACACAATCATAAAAATAAGTGATTACTTATTATCAGTTAATAATAGAAAATTCTCAAAGACCCTTAGAGGAATAATACTACTGAATTGCATAAGTTATACCTTAATATTAACACACTCTTAAACCAAAGAAATAGTTTTTAAAATAATGAAAAATGCACATAAGGGAAATCAACTGACAGAGAATTAAGATTTATGCTGTTCAAAAATGTACATGTTGTCAGCATAAGGTTAGTCTTACATTCATAGTTGATGCTTAACTCATATCTTAGAATAAGAATACTGTGACTTTCTATTTTCTGAAGTCTTATGATTGTCATTTATGAAAAAATTATTCAAATATCTAAATGATAGAGAGCAAGAACCTGGGCTAATTTTAAAAGATGGGGCATTTTGAAGTATATGTATTTTTCAAGGAAAATTATTAATGAATATTAATATCTTCTATGATCATTTGTAGCAAATGATACTGAACATA